AGCGGTCGCTCGTCCGTTTTGCATCTGCTATCGCGGTGTTAGATGCGCCTTCACTTCGCCCTGTGTGCTTTGCTTTGACCATCCTTGACGAGGAGCCAGAAGCGAGTCTTTTACGAGGGTATCCTGCGGTGTCGTCTTTGGGGCACCACATAACAGCGACGCCGCAAAACCCAAATTCCAGCTGAATTGAAGGACACAGACAGACACAGACACCGTGCACCGCAGGCCGGGCTGGCAGTCAATCAATTTCGGGCCACCGACGGCGCAGGCTGCAACATCGCTTGCCCGATAATGAGAGGGATACGATGCCAAGGCAACGCTTTCCTGGTGTGAAAGAGATAGCATCGTAGATTTCTTGGGTGCAAAACGGCCAAGGAGGTGGAGGTGGCCTCTATTTATACACTCGGTCGATGATGATCACAGACAGTGCACATCAATCGCCTGTGGCCGGGCGATGGGTTCGTTGATGGGCAAAAAGCCGTCTGAAGTCGACCCTCCCTCCTCAGCCAGATGCCCGCCAAGATCCCCAGACATGCAGCAGCCAACTGCACGTCTTTCCATCCATGTCCTGTCCTGGGGCAGAGCAGAACACAACGGGCTGATCCCCCCGCTTCCACCCATTCGAGATTCCGCTGACCCCTGCCACCCCGTCACCTCATCGGATGCCAAACCCCATCAACCAGCCTTCAATCCAATTTAGGCAGGTCAGCGATAGCTGGGGCTGCATCTTCCGTGCTGGTTAGTGCCTCCAGAAACGGGACCCCCCTCCCGTCCCTTCCCTTCCCCTTCACGCTACCTCGCTATTTTATCCTGCAGCCCAGCGCCCAGCATGACCCGGTGTGGCCCAGCATGGCCCAGCATTGGCCGAGCATGGGGTTGTCGTCTGGTGCGCGTGAGGTGCGTGAATGAGAGAGACAGAGAGGGAAGAGAGAGAGAGGGAGCGAGACACACACACAGAGCCTGGTCCAGTCCAATGGCAAGGTAGCGCAGCGCGCAGCAAGCAAACCCACCGGTCTACCCTCTTTCTACGTAGTAGTGTCTATTGAGGCCCTCCTCTCCCCTTTCGCCCACCTGCGGATTGATTGCCTTGCCTTACCGTGTGTATTCACCCGTGCTGTGCTACTTGTGGACCGCGGGAACGAACTTGCTGCTCTGCCCGTAGCACTCGGTAGACTGGGCCCAGGCTGTGATGATCGCCGCACCGCACCCACCGCCGCACGCGAGCCAGCCAGCCATGTTCAGTGTCCAGTATTAGTGCCCTGTTCACTGTCACTCATTACATACATACATATTAGCCGCTCCCCTGCTTCTGGCTTGTGCCCCCAGTGAGACGTTGATCCTTTCTCTCCTTTAACCGACTGAACGGGCACCACTCACCTACCAACCAACGACTGAGTGTTTCCAGCTCAGCTTTCCGGCGCGGAAAGCAGGGAGACGACAACGACGACGACGGCGATCATCATCATCATCATAATCGACCCCAACTCATCGACGGCAACCCATCGAAGACGACTGCCGGCTTCGTTGACCGCCGACACGCTCGCCAGGATGGTTCTCAGGTTTCTTCGCCGGCGGCATCACGATGGGGATGTGATGCCGGATATGGACGACGGGTCGATAGAGGGTGACCCGGGCCTGGAGTCGTTGAATTCGCTCAAGCAGTTCGAGAAGATGCATCGCCTGGACCCGAATTTGCCGATGGACGACCTGGATGAGGTCGAGCTCGCGCTGAACACGGCGAATGCGGAAAAGGGTGCCGAGATTGAGCAGATCTTGGCCGAGGACAATTCGCCCTACCCAGAAGTGAGATGAAGCCGGCGCCTCGTTTGCAGCCCAAGTTTGTTGTCTTGTCATGATGGAGCGCAGCCTCTAACTCTGGTTTCAAGGTCCGAGCCTCAGTGCGCAACGTCGACACCGAGATGCCTGCGAGCACGATACGAGCATGGACCATCGGCTTGCTGCTGTGTACCATTGGCTCTGCCGTCAACATGCTGTTGTCGCTCCGGAACCCGACCATCCTGCTATCGACGCTCGTCATCCAGCTCATCTCGTATCCCATTGGGCTTGGCTGGGACAAGATCTTCCCCGATCGCGTCTTCAACGTCCTCGGCGTCAAGTTCAACCTGAAACCCGGCCCCTTCAACTTCAAGGAGCATGTCATCATTGTCGTCATGTCGAATGTACGTCGGCTGTCTGTCTTGTTCTTGGCAAGGGGAAAGAAACCTGCTAACACGCCTTCTTAGGCCGCATACGGCGGTGGGGCCCTGTATGCCACCGATGTGATTATCGCACAGGAGGTGTGGTATGGTCAGACGTTTGGATGGGCATGGCAGATGTTGTTTGGAATCACGACGCTTTGCACCGGCTATGGGCTTGCTGGTCTGGCAAGAAGGTTTCTCGTGTGGCCCGCTGCCATGATCTGGCCTGCGGATCTGGTGAACTGCACCCTCTTCTACACCCTCCACGACCATTCTCCCTCGGATCCGGCGAGGACCAACGGCTGGACCATCAGCCGCTACCGGTGGTTCTTGATCGTCTTTGCTGGTTCATTCATGTGGTACTGGTTTCCGGGCTACCTCTTCCAGGGCCTCTCATGGCTGTGCTGGGTCACCTGGATCTGGCCTGACAGCGTCATCGTCAACCAGCTGTTTGGTGGCTACAGCGGCTATGGCCTGCTTCCCCTCACCTTGGTATGTTATGTGTCCTTCGTATCCGGAACGATTGGGGAAGGCAAGGTGTGCTAATCCTCGCAGGACTGGTCTGTTGTCTCGGGTTATCTCCAGTCCCCGCTCGTCACGCCGTTCCACGCCATTGCCAATGTCCTCGGCGGCATTATCGTTTTCTTCGTCTTCGCGTCGCTCGGGATCCATTACTCGGGCATGTGGTATGCCGCGTACTTGCCGGTCTCAAACTACCACGCCTACGACAACACCGGGAGGCAATACAACGTCTCGGCTATCCTGGGCGAGGACCTGCGCTTTGACGAGGCAAAGTACATGGCATACTCGCCGCTGTACCTGCCAACCCAGTTTGCACTGGCCTACGGTCTATCGTTTGCCGCTGTGGCCGCCGTCATCGTCCACGTTACCCTCTACCACGGGCGAGATATCTGGACCCAGTGGCGGCTGGCACGTTCTCAGGAGGACGACGTCCATATGCGGCTCATGAAGAAGTACCGCGACGCCGAGGACTGGTGGTACCTCATCCTTTTTGGCACCATGATCGGCCTCTCTTTCGTCGTGGTCTGCGCCTGGGAGACCAGCTTCCCGTGGTGGGCCTTTATGGTTTGCCTGGCGATTCCCATCGTGTGGACCATCCCGATCGGCATTGTGCAGGCCATGACCAACTTCCAGCTCGGCCTGAACGTGCTGACCGAGTACATTGTCGGCTACATGCTGCCCGGCCGGCCCCTGGCCATGATGATGTTCAAGAACTACGGCTACCTGTGCATGTCGCAGGCGCTGTACTTTACACAGGACCTGAAACTCGGCCATTACATGAAGGTCCCACCACGCGCCATGTTCTGGTCGCAGCTGGTAGCCTCGATCTGGTCCGCGATTGTGCAGATCTGCGTCATGAACTGGGCCCTCGGCGCCATCCCCGATATCTGCACCGACGCCCAAGAGAACCAGTTCAGCTGCCCGAGCGCCAAGGTCTTCTACACCGCGTCCGTCATCTGGGGCGCCATCGGCCCGGCCCGCATGTTCTCGGGGACTGCCCTGTACAGCTCGCTGCAGTGGTTCTGGCTGGTCGGTGCCCTGGCCCCGATACTGTCGTGGTTCCTCGCCCGGCGCTACCCGCGCTCCTTCATGCGCTACGTGAGCATGCCCCTGGTGTTTGGCGGCTCCGGCTGGCTTCCGCCCGCGACGGTCTTCATCTACTTTTGCTGGGGCACCGTCGGCACGTTTTTCAACTTCTTCATCCGGCGGCGCAAGACGGGCTGGTGGCTACAGTACAACTACATCACGTCGTCGGCGCTCGACTGCGGCCTGGTGTTCTCGACCATCGTCATCTTCTTCGCTCTCTACATGACGGGCACGGTGGCGCCCGAGTGGTTCGGCAACAAGGGCGCGCTGAAAACGCTCGACATGTCGGCCAAGGCGGTACAGAAGCACGTGCTCCCGGGAGAGACGTTTGGTCCTAGCACATGGCCATAGAAGAAGACGAAGAAGAAGAAGAAGAATAAATGTACAGGGCTCGGGCGAAGCAGGTTGGTCTTTGGTTCGGGGGCTTGGAAATGAAGGAGTTTGCGGAGTTGTTTTTTTCTATACAAATATTTCGGGAGTTTTATGGGTAGGCGGGGAGGGAGCGGGGAATGAAATAGCGACATTGATATTTTTCTTATTTTTTCTTGTTTTGGTTTGGTCTGGCTGGCTGGCTGGCTGGCTGGCTGGGTTGCTGCTCTGCTGGCATTGGACATTTCTTCTTGGTAAAGCAACGAACGGCACGACGCGATCATCCTCTGCAAGCAATTCAGAGACGACGCAAGCACGGCAGAGTCTCTTTTTTCTCTATCTCTGAGAAAGGATGAATGTGGTTGGCTGCCGCCGATGATGGTGTTTGTCCAAATCACGCACGCGGTTACGTTATGTCGGGATAACTCGGTGGGGGATGGATATCGGGGGGGGGGGGGGGCTTTGCTTGGTTTCACACGGCCACCTACTGATCGAATCATATTCCAAAAAGAAACGGTGTGTGATGATACCTTTTGGTTATCTGGTGTTTTTGACAGACGAGTCGAGACTGAAGTACCTTACCTAGTAGTAGTTTACCCTTATGAATTATAGTGTCTGATTTGATTTGCGTTTGGAAGGAGGATGTGACTTGTTGTTGTTGTTGTTTGGTTGTTGTGGATGACTTCACATAGTGGGTGACTTGTCGACTACATAAATTCTTGACAGCATTAAAAACAAGCTATTCTTCTTGTTGACGAACGAATCAAAAAACAGAAAAAAAGACTGCAACAGAGCCAGAGAAGCTCAGGTTCTGAGCAAAAAGATGGGTCTGGCCGGGGATTGAACCCGGGACCTCTCGCAAGCAATGTTTAGGGTGAACCCTAAGCGAGAATCATACCGCTAGACCACCAGACCGATGTAATTGGTTAGTTACTTGATGAAGAGACGCGCTCAAAACTGGGTACATGCGGTGGGGTTGAATGGACTAGTTGTGGAGCACTGAGTGTCATATCATTTCGTGATGGTCTACACAAGTCAGGACTGAGAAGAAGATATCAGAGGTTTACTCACTGGATATTGTTACTCACTTTCGTATATGTCCTCTTGAAGAGAAAGAAATGAACAGGTGGAACCAAAGGAGAAATCGATATCTGATACCTGTCTTATTCACTTACTTTGCCTTCGCCTCGCACTCGTTCAACTCTACAGGTAACACATGATATTATCACAACCTCTATATAATCTACCCATCCGCACGCCTCTCGCTGACACCACCACCACAACTCTAACAACACATAGATACAACTCACTCACCAGGCGCAAACCCCTCCCTCTCCAGCGCCCAGGCAACCGCCTCCCTGACATCGCGCACCACAGCCCTCGGCTTAAACCGTCCCTTGAGCACCCCCTCCCCGCCCCTCGCAGCGGGGTTCCACACCCCGGTCCCGACAAGGACAGAGCACCACTCCGTCCCGGCCTCGCTGACAAAGTCGTTGGCGCCGGCGATGTCGCTCTCGGGGTTATCCCCGACCATGTAGACGGACCGCAGGACGTCTGGTTCGTGGTGGCTGATGGCGCGCAGGAGCTCGTGGCGGTGGGCAGCCAGCACGCGCTCGGCGAAGCGGTACGTCTCGCCGTAGGGCTTGCCGATGACGCGGCGGCGCAGCTCGTGGCCGTCGGTGATGCGCCGCCAGACGCCCGCCACCGCGGCCTGGAAGGCGCCCTGGCCCAGGCGGGGCAGGGCGTACCCTGTGCTCCAGAGCAGGTCTGCGTTGCTGAAGTAGAGCGCTGGTTGGTTGTCCTGCTGCCAGCCGCAGTTGGGGAGCGATGCGTCGTTGTTGCGGGGCGAGTAGGTCCCTAGGTGGCCGCCTTGGGAGAGGAGGAGGTCGGTGATGATTTGGATGTCGAGCGCCCAGTCGCGCGGGTCGTTGAACACGAACATGGCGTCGATTTTGAGCATGCCCGAGGCTGGGTTGGAATTGGAAGGGTAGCCAGCGCGGGAGGAGGCGTGGACGGAATCTAGGAGCGGGTCGAAGGGGAAGACCTTGGGGTGGGCGTGGAGGATGTCGGCGGGGGTGACGACGTTGCGGAAGCCGTAGCTGGGAAACGGTGGGTCAGTTTCTGTCATTTTTGGTTTTTGAATTTTGGATTTTGGATTCGGGAAACATACGCTTGGGCGATGGCGCGGCACTTTTCCGCGTCGGCGCCGGTCACCAGGACGGTCTTGTCCCTCAGGCTCTCGGGGCCGTCGTCGACGAGCTGGCGGAACGGCGTGTGCGACTGGACAAAGTTGTCCGTGGTGAGGGGCACGCCGAGCTTCTCGCTGAGGTCCTTGACGCGCTCCGTCTCGAGCTTCCCGCCGCCGTTGGTGAGTAAGATGAACGGGATGTTGTGGTGGTGCAGATAGCGCAGCGCGTCCGAGGCCCCGGGGATGGGCTTCGCGACGTGGAGCAGCACGCCGTCGATGCTGTTCACGGGCTGGGGTCAGCAACATGGCTCATCTCCAATATAAGGTAGCTCCAGTGTGTGTGTGCGTCACTCACTCAAACGCAAACGCAAACGACGGCGCCTTCTTTTCAACCACCTTCTTGGTGCTGAATCCCCGGACGCACTGGCCGGGACAACTAGCTCTCAAGCCCACCGTCGCCGCCGCCCGCCGCCTACCCAGGTCTCGCGATACCTGTGCAACGCATGCCCGACGTGGCGCGGATAATAGAACGTGGGGGGAGGTCGACGCAGGAACCGACAGCAACGGGGCCGAGGCCCGCGCGAGGCTCACGAGGCTCACACCGCCTCTCATTATCGAGGATGCCGGATAAGATACAAACAGAGGAAAAGGGTGAGAGTATCAACGGCGTAATACGTTGATGTAATTATGTGATGACTCCTTCAGAAGAATAAAATGTCGTTGCGGAATATTCATGCGTAAACAATGGAAGGTGAAAACGCGTCTGTCGTCATCAGCATTCGGGGCACTTTATATACGGTGACCAACTGAACCGCCGAGTCGCAGATCAACACATGGACGGTTTGTAGAGGTACCTGGTAGTTGTAGGCAGGCAGTAACCCCGGGATCCGGGACGACAGTGGATCGGGGTCCAGCGATGAAACGGACGGGCGGACGGGCGGACGGCCTTCCTTCTCCCATGCACTATCCAATTGTTCACCTAATCAGTGGAGCACGCCCGATCCGAGTCGGGACGGGGTCGAGGACGACCAGGACAGCTGGTAGGTACCGCTGAGCTACGGATCTTCGCTTAAGGTACTGTACCTAGTGTAGATAAGGTACTAGGCAGTCGTTCAAGCGGAAAAATACGTGGAAGCAACCGCAGGGCCGACAGGACCTATGCCAGGTACTAACTTAGAGCTTCTGCAGCAGTTTGTGGCGTTCAACGGATGGGCGGTCCACGGGCTGTCCACAGCCCACGTCTACGGTTCGCGCTTCAGTTGCAATCATAACCGACCCCTCCACATCACCGCATCACCGCCGTGACAGAAAGCCGGGACTGGCCCTAGTCTAGAACTATAGAGCGAAAAGGAAAAGAACAGAAAAAAACGAAGTGAACAACGTCCTCGACAAAGATTGATTGGAAAAGAAGCCACAACCTGGAAGCTGCACAAGCCCAATATCTACGTAAGGTAGTGATTGGAATATGAACCGAATACCTTACCGAACCGCCGCTCTCGGTTGCAAGTGGAAGACCTCCCTCCCACCCTCCTCCATCAGGAATCCACGTGCCCACCTGCCTACCTCCATTGATCCTCACATGGATCAAGGTTCATGCTTCTCCATCCATCCATCCATCCCCGGGGAAAGCCTCTCATGTCTCCTCCCAGACCAGCCTATCACAGCCCACGTCACCAACGACACGTACCTTACCGATACACTTTTATGAAATGTTCACAGCCAGCGTGGAATGGAATGTACGGACCGCTCGTGTCCTTCGGCTATGGCGCCACATGCTTCTTGATTCCCGTCTACAAGTACAAACGACTTCCCACCCCCCCATCCATCCCCTCCCCGCGCGCCTACCAAACACCTTTTATCTGGTCTATATCTTATTCCATCTTGCCAAACATCATCCACATATCAAACGCGCAAACAACAGTCTCCAGCGGCACACCCTCACGCAAAGCTTCCCGCCCAGCCCAGCCCAGCCCAGCCCTTCCCATCCCGTGATGATGATGATGATTCTCCGTCCGAGCGAGCGAAGCCGAGTACCAGGAAAACGCCTCGGCGGCCAGCCAGAGTCAAGTCGAATCGAAGCTTGCCGTTGTGTTTGTGAAGGCTAAGAGAAAGAATAAAGTACCCCGGCGTGGTCTATCGTCACCCCAACTCTTTCAACAATAATAAACTCCATCAGACTCCAACTCGCCCGCACCCCGAACCCCGAACCCTCGAGGTCAAATACCAACACATGAAGATAGAAACGAAAACAAAGCAAACAAGAAGAAGAAAAGAAATGTAACAATATGCTTCGTCTTTTATACGACACCTTCCTCCATCCCAATCCATCAAGAACGCCACGCCGATTAAACATAAAAACTTTGCTGCGCCTTCGCAGTAGCTCCAGTCGTATCGTGTTCACACCCAATATCGGTGTGTTATATCGGCTGTTGACAAAAGATGCAGCAAGCCCCAAGAGACTCCAACAAATATGTATGGTATGGTTGCTGAGATGGCGATTATAGGTCCTCCATGCCCCCCTCTCCGTGGATGAAGATTGTTTCCCTCGTCTCCATTCATCATGCCCGCAATGCCGCAACATCGCCATGTCGATTTCGCTCTCTGCCTGCAAATGCTATGCAAATCCGAAGGCATGTTAAAAATACCCCTGAAACAGTCTAGGCGACAAAATTATCGAGATCCCACCCCTGTCGTTATTCCCCGTCCTCCTTCTCATCGAGATTTTACTCAACACTGACTGGATTATGTACTGCCGTATTCAGACATTATTCGATTACCGTGTATTAAGGGTTGGCCGTGTGCAGCCTAGCGGCTGGCTTTTGTTCGTTTCGTCCAGATATATGCAAAGACACGCTCCGTCGTCACACAATGACTACGCCCGGCTGACTTGGCTGGCTGAGGTACGGCTGCGCTCGTCGTCCTCCTCGATAACATCGCTCAGTCGGGTGGGGTGGTGGTGCCGAGGCATCGTCTCCCACCCAGGCGCAGCATAACCCTGACCAGAGTACTCCGGGGTCCCCGCGTATGTGCCGGCCCATTGCGAGCTGGACGGGGGATAGCTGGTGGCGGCCTGCGACATTGGGGGGTCATATTCCTCCATCCCATCGTCAGAACCTCGAGCCCCCGGCGGCGGCGAGTTGGGGCTGTAAAACGGGATCTTGTTGCCGTGGATATCCCTCTCAAAGTTGCCCTGCGCGTCGATCACGTACTCGCCTTCGCTGTAGCCCGCCTCGGAGACGGCACCATAGCTGGCAGTCTCTTGCGCCATGCTTTGGGCCTGCTGGTACATTGGGCTGCTTACGGGGACCGGGCCGCTCGCAGTCGTTGCATTTGGCTGGCTGGGAGGAGCCTGAGTGTGCTGTGGGTAATGAGGAGCTTGAGCAGCCACGTACTCAGACGTATCCGCTTGCGCTTGGCTCTGCGACCGTTCGCGTGTGCCGCTCGCGCGAGTCGGAACGCCTTGTGTCATAGGCACTACCTGAACACCACCAACGAGAGTTGGAAGGCCGTTCTGCAAGGAAATGGTACGGTCTCGCTCCTCTTGTTCACGGCGGCCAAGCTCTTCCCATGCTCTCCGAGCTTCCTCCTTGGATATCGCCAGTTCTTTCCGCTGCTCAGCGAGAAGCTTTTTTGTCTTGCTGTTCTCCGATCGGTGGGTACTGGCTTCTTGCACCGTCGCGGCTCTGGCTTGGCGCTCCTGGTTCAGCTGAGCTTCCAACATGGCGGT